AAAAACAAGCATTTTTCTAGTTTCCAGACAATAACTTGTGTTCAAGTGTATTGATCTCTCTGAAATTGTACTGCAAGGTACCATACCACAAAGGGAAGTCTGGGATTGAGTTTGGGGGTGATGAATCATAAGGGGTTCAAAAAATTTAGGGGAGGGATTTTTTTTTTTTCTTTTAAATTTTTCATTTTAAATTGGTTATTTCTGATTATATATAAAAGCAAATAATAATGATGTGGTTTGAATAGGTAAATTAAAAATTTTAAAGTTCTTAGACCACATTCATTCTGTGTCAGAAACCTATGATGTGTCAAATATTTAATCACAATCCAAATTCAGTGCTGTATCAAGCTTGAATGTTGTGTCCATACTTGCCCCAACTGTTCAGGGTTCGACCTCTGCGGTCGTATCAAGCTGTGCCCAGCAGAGCATTTTATTTACTTATAAATGGACTTAGTTTTTCTGCCAGGAAACATTACATTCACTCGGTGGTTAAAGTTATAAAAATTTTAATAACTTTCTTAAACTATCCTGGATTTGTACCAAACATGGACAGAAGTTTGTTTATGATCAAAAGCTAGTATCTAGAAGGAAATATTTATTAAAATTTTGTACTTGTTTATCCATATTTTACTTATAAATGGACTTAGTTTTTCTTCCAGTTAACATTATCGAAGGTCGGTGGTTTTCTCCGGGTACTCCGGCTTCCTCCACCAATAAAAACTGGCCGCCACGAAATAGCCCAAAAGAGGTGCTTTAAAGTGGCGTTAAAACACCAAAAATCAAATCAAATCAAACCCAGTTAACATTACATACAGTCTGCAGTTAAATTTTTTAAATAAAATTGAGAATGGAAATGGGGAATGTGTCAAAGAGACAACAACCCGACCATAGAACAGACAACAACAGAAGGTCACCAACAGGTCTTCAATGCAGCGAGAAATTCCCGCACCCGCAGGCGTCCTTCAGCTGGCCCCCAAACAAATATATATACTAGTTCAGTGATAATGAACGCCATACTAAACTCCAAATTGTACACAAGAAACTAAAATTAAAAATAATACAAGACTAACAAAGGCTAGAGGCTCCTGACTTGGGACAGGCGCAAAAATGCGGCGGGGTTCAACATGTTTATGAGATCTCAACCCTCCCCCTATACCTCTAGCCAATGTAGAAAAGTAAACGCATAACAATACGCACATTAAAATTCAGTTCAAGAGAAGTCCGAGTCTGATGTCAGAAGATGTAACCAAAGAAAATAAACAAAATGACAATAATACATAAATAACAACAGACTACTAGCAGTTAACTGACATGCCAGCTCCAGACTTCAATTAAACTGATTGAAAGATTATGTCTTCATCATATGAATATCAGGCACAATCCTTCCCGTTAGGGGTTTAGTATCATACCATCATAACATATATGAGAAGAACATAACCCGTGTCATGCCAACAACTGGTTTTTAAATAAATGTGTTTAGTGCCGATGCAAAGACCCTATAAGTGAATCAATATTAACGCCAAAATATGCAATCTTTAATGACCTGACAACAGTATCGTAACTATATCCCTTCTTAATAAGTCTATTTAAAAGTTTTGTTAGCTTCAGAGGTGAATACTGACATTTTTGTGCTTTATAAAGAATATTTCCATAAAAAATTGGATGTGAAATACCTGAACGTAAAAGAAGTCTGCATGTTGAGCTATATTTACGAATGATGTCCTTATACCGATGATAAAATTTAGTAAATGTTTTGACTAGTTTGTGATATCGAAAACCCTGGTGTAATAATTTTTCAGTAATACATAAATTTCTCTCTTTAAAATCTAAAACATTGTTACACACACGAGCGAATCGTACAAGTTGAGATATATAAACACCGTAAGATGGTGACAAGGGAACGTCACCATCTAAAAATGGATAATTAACGATAGGAAATGAAAAATCATCTCTTTTATCATATATTTTAGTATTAAGCTTTCCATTAATGATATAGATATCAAGATCGAGGAAAGGGCAGTGGTCATTGTTAGTGTTAGCTTTATTTAAAGTAAGTTCAACAGGAAAAATTTCTTTAGTATACATACTGAAGTCGTCATTATTGAGAGCCAAAATATCATCCAAATATCTAAAAGTATTATTAAATTTGTGTATCAGATGTTGTTTCGATGGGTCTTTGCTGATTTTTGTCATAAATTGTAACTCATAGCAATACAAAAAAAGGTCCGCAATAAGTGGTGCACAGTTAGTCCCCATTGGAATTCCGATAACCTGACGATATACGGAATCTCCAAAGCGAACAAAAATGTTATCTAGTAAAAATTCAAGGGCATATATAGTATCAAAGCATGTCCAACTGACATAGTTTTTTTGTTTATTGCTACTAAAAAATGACCTAAAAGAGTTTGAACATATATATTCACATTCTGACTTTTTAAATGCCCATTTAATTAGGTGTGTCAATTTTTTCTTAATGAGAATGTGAGGCAATGTGGTATATAGGGTAGAAAAATCAAAACTTTGAACAGATTCAAAATCACCAATATATGCATGTAATTTATCAAGTACTTCCAACGAGTTCTTGACACTCCAAAACATTTATTAGATTCACAAACTATCCTGGATTTTTACCAAACTTGGACAGAAGCTTCTTACAATTGTGACCAGGTGGAATAAGGCATGGATGAATTGAATGCAGAACGTTCAAATACTTTATTATATACTATAAAGAAGGCAACGACAGATCTGAAATATACAGATAATGACAAATAAATATAACTTTACAAATAAATGCATATGAATATATCATTTTGTAACAAATAATGTATATTATGTTTAATTACACTATAGTCACAGAATTTGCAGGAATACGAACTGGTGAATTCGAGCAAAGTTTAATAAATCCAATAGTATTACAATGTTCATTTTTGTCACAAGCTTTAAAAAGTTCTCTAAGTTTAAAATTTTCTGCTATTTCGGTAACTTCCTCTGGATACTGGTTCCCATAATCTTGTTGCAAAAGTTTTTTACATAAGCTAATAACGTTCATTCCCAAAAGTCCAGGGACATTTTCTTTTCTCATACGGGTATAACTGTCAATAGGATCCTTCACAATCAAAACACCTCTGTTTGGCAAACGTTGCCCCATAATGTCAATATCTACTTCAACATATCCTATATACGGTATACAAATTCCATTTGCCCCTTTCAGATTAAACGTAATATCAGTTTGTAGCTCCGTACACCTCCTCAGAAAACGGTTATAAAACGACTCTGTAACTGTTGTAACAGTTGACCCAGTATCTACTAGACAGTTAACTTTAAATCCTGCAAAGTAAGCACTAACTGTTGGACATTTACCCACTAAACGATCAGCTTGTATTGAGTCCATATGATTATCATCTACAATGGGACTCTTCACGGCAGACGCTACTCGTTTCCCGACTTCTTTACATTAACAACTGGACAGTCTACAATCTTGTGACCTGGCTTATTACATCCAAAACATAACAAAGTACGTCGTTGTGGTTCGAACCTATTGTATCTACTGTTATAATTTGTCGACTGTTGCTTTGAATTCATGATCTTCGTTAATGTTTCAATTTGTTCACTTTGTTTCTGGACAATACCCAATAACTGGTTGAATTTTTCGGATTGTTCACTACTACTGTCAGTTTTATCCTTACTAGCGCACACATCAGCAGTAGGTTCTTCTGGTACAGTATCAGTTGTTTCACTTTTCGTCTTTGTGTTATATTTTTTATCTTTATATTCTTCCTCCTCGGACCACATAATAGCTTCTTCACGTAAATCCAAAAACGGCATATGAGGTTGTGCACGAACTATTTGTTTCAGATGCTTTCTTAAGTAACTGTCTTGTACATTTTGTGAAAATTGGTCGCATAATGTTTTCTCTTTATTAGGCATCCAAGTAGAATCTTTAATTGTAATTTTACTCATTAAATCCATTAACACATATGAATATTCTCTGAGCGATTCATTTGGCTTTTGCACACGATCCAAAAAATTCTTCTGTAGTTTGGTAATATTATCCTTTACACCAAAGGCATCTTGTAAAATTTCTAAAATTTGATCTGGACTTTGTCGTACTAGATGAGAACGATATTTCACTTCATCTTTAGCAGAACCTTCAAGTTGTAAATATATTAAATCCGCTCGTTCTTGACGGGACATCTCACGTGAATGTAGCACAGTATTAACATCTTCAATCCAATCTTCAACTGGAAAATTATAACCGGAAAACTTCGGAACCTTTCTATCTTTCTGTACATATACAACATTCTTTTCATTCGGTGCTTTTTTCACTTCATTTTCACCACCAGATTTCCAAGACATTTCTTTAATACTATTCTGTAATTCATTCACTTGCTTTTGTAAAGACTTACAAGTAGGATGACTTGCCATTATGAACTTTCAAAACTATTGAAAATTATAAAAAATACAAAAATTGCAAAAATACACAATATATAACTTCAACTCTATATTCACAAAAAGTGAATAAATGCACAACTATAATCCAGTATGAATAAAACACATAATCCAAAATGAAAAAAAAATTTACACATTTCAACATATATCACAATATCTCTCAATATCACATATATTCCAAATACAGAAAACAGTTACTTCATCGGTCCTCATCGGTACACGGTTTCGGCACTGTTATACATCTTCGTTAGTGTTCGCCTTTCAATCTCCGACAATGTTCGGTTAAGTCCGTATATATTCCAATAACACAAATAATCTCCGTCACTGGTCGGCTCCTTCCGTGGATTTCCGATCTGGTAGAAACTCCGTCAAAGTTCGGTCAACTCCGTGGATAGCCCGATGACACACACACATCAACTTCGTAAATGTTCGGCTTCCTCCGTAGATACCCCGCTCAGCCGTCTGATGGAATGTCAGCAATCATTGCCTTCTGGTTTGTCGACGACGCCATATGTGACCAGGTGGAATAAGGCATGGATGAATTGAATGCAGAACGTTCAAATACTTTATTATATACTATAAAGAAGGCAACGACAGATCTGAAATATACAGATAATGACAAATAAATATAACTTTACAAATAAATGCATATGAATATATCATTTTGTAACAAATAATGTATATTATGTTTAATTACACTATTGCAAATAAATAATAATGCAAAACTAGTTAAATGACAACTCTGAATGTAAACAATTTGTTAATTAATGCTAATGAAAACTGTTCACTAAAGTAAGTTGACCATACGTCTCAATAAAATACTATACAACATTGAAAGTTTATTACAGGTAAAAAAGAAAATATAAAGTTTGAAATACAATTAGCAAAGTAAATGAAACTAAATAAAATATTTAAGACAAAAACTTTTAACCATAGATTAATTTGAAAAACCCTTAAACTATAAATACCTTATAATGCTGGCTACGGCTCATAGTGTTGTTTCTGGTGTTACTTATTCTGCATTGACAATATAGTTAAAAATTACAGTATATATAGTCAAAAGGTGAACTGTCAAACTGGCCAGAACCAGATAAAACAACTATTAAGAAAAGTAATTTGTCCAATAGCCAGTGGTGAGTAAATATCAAAGATCATAGATAGAGTATTTGGATTCATTGAACCATATAATACAAATATATGTTCAATATAGTAAGATCATTATAATATAGAGTAAATAGATATAAACGAAGTACAAAGTTGGGAATAATATCAAATAGATAATTTGTATATAAATGAACTTGTCCACACAATAAAAAAATTGTATCGAGAGGAATATTTTTATTAAATTTTTTCCTCATCTTATTTTTGTTGAGCCTGCGATTAACAGCAAAAGTAGGCGAGACACTGGGTTCCGCGGAACCCTTACGAATTTTTCCATTTATAAAGGGGCATAACTCTAGAACAGTTAAAGTGACGCCATTAAAATTCAAACTTGATCTGTGTTTTGTGGTATTAAGCATTGTGTATAAGTTTCATAACATTTGGTTGAGGCAAACTTAAGTTAGAGAACGGAAACTAAAGATTTTGCAATTTTTCCATTTATAAAGGGGCATAACTCTAGAACCGTTAAAGTGAAGCCTCTAAAATTCAAACTTGATCTGTGTTTTTATGGTAATAAGCATTGTGTATAAGTTTCATAACATTTGGTTGAGGCAAACTTAAGTTAGAAAACAGAAACTAAAAATTTTGCAATTTTTCCATTTATAAAGGGGCATAACTCTAGAACGGTTAAAGTGACGCCATCAAAATTAAAATTTGATCTGTATTTTGTGGTAATAAGCATTGTGTATAAGTTTCATAACATTTAGTTGAGGCAAACTCACGTTAAAGAATGGAATCAAATTTTGGGACGTACATACATACAGACGGACAAGGGTAAAACTTAATGCCCCCTCCGCTACAGCGGGGATAAAAAAATAATGGATTTTTGGAAAAAGGGGGAGGGCTAAAATAATGTCCAGTCCCCAAGTACCTATGGAATTATTTATTAATGTAAGCACTTGTTGCTTGTTTCTGAGATTCTATTTGTGAATGAATATTGTAATTTGTAAAATTCATAGCAAAATAAAAAGCTTATTAAGTAAATATTGTTTACACTAATTATATAGTCACGTTTCTCCAACATTTAATAATTAGACTAATTTAATGCTGCATGAAATTTTAAGAAATTCGGACAGAAGCTTGTTCAAAATTTTGAAAATATTAATTTCATTTTTCCGTATATTATTTAAGGAATGACTGTAATATTTTTTCTGTCTATGAAGAAATAACATCAAAAATGTGGTTCACACTGAATAACCCGCGTAGCGGGTTATTTTAAATTGTGCACCACATTTTTTATGTTATTTCGCATAGACAGAAAAAATATTACAGTCATTTCTTATAATTTAATTCTAAATTTCATTTTAAACCGGAGTAAACCATGAAAAAACGTTGATGACGTCACAGTCACATGACAAAATTATGTCTATGAGCTGATAAACAAAACAACGTCAGCCAATCAGAAGACGCGTTACATCCAAAATTAAATTATTGATAAATGGACTTAGTTTTTTTACAGTTAACATTTAAGAAATGACTGTAATATTTTTTCTGTCTATGAAGAAATAACATCAAAAATGTGGTGCACACTGAATAACACGCGTAGCGGGTTATTTTAAAGTGTGCACCACATTTTTTATGTTATTTCGAATAGACAGAAAAAATATTACAGTCATTTCTTATAATTTAATTCATAATTCCATTTTAAACCGGAGTAAATCATGAAAAAACGTTGATGACGTCAAGGTCACATGGCAAAATTATGTCTATGAGCTGATAAACAAAACAACGTCAGCCAATCGGAAGACGCGTTACATCCAAAATTAAATTATTCTGATATAGTCTGAGATTAAAGTTTTTCCGTCAACAATAACTTTGCCAAACCTTCATGGAATTTTAGGAAAATTAGACAGAAGCTTGTTTATGACCAAAATACAGTATCCAGAGCAAAATTGGGAAAATATTCATTTTGGTTTTTCCTTTTTTTACAGATAAATGGACTTACTTTTTTTTTACAGTTAACAAGTAGATACAGTCTGAGGTCAAAGTTTTTCAGTCATCAATAACTTTGTCAAACCATCATGGAATTTTAGGAAATTTGGATAAAAGCTTAGTTATGACCAAAATAGAGTATTCAGAGAAAAATGTTTACAATATTTATTTTCATTTTTCCGTATTTAAATGAGAAATGGACTTTTTTTTTTTTTTTACATTTAACAAGTAGATACAGTCTGGGGTTAAAATTTGTTACACATCAATTACTTTGTCAGACTATCATAGAATTTTATAATCATTTTGGTAGAAGCTTTTCTATAATTAAGAGATAATGTCTGGAGCAAACTTTTGAAAATATATTTTTTTTTCATTTTCTGTATTTTTTTGATAAATGGACTTAAGTTTTTTTTACAGATAACATTTACAGACAATCTGGGATTAAACTTTTGACATGATAGGGGACAAGGTACAATAAGCCCCCGTTTTGGCCCCCCTATTTTCTTATTTTTCAAATTTTGTTTTAGAAAGCTACTTATCATGTAAAAATATTCCCTGAGGTTTGAAGTTTGTTTGGATGAACTTCTAAACCATTAATTTCAGCAACTGGGTGAGGTTAGGGGGGTAAACTTTCCGTTATTATTCAGATATTGTAATTATTATTCACTTTGGAGGTGTTCCGTACAACGATTTTTTAGTTTTTAAGTGCCTGCGCCAACGTGACCCAGGAAATTTTTAATTACAATGTCATTAACTCTGTTTTTGCTGTCTAGATCACCATAATTTTGTCCGGGTCACGTAGACGCACGGTTTTAAATTTTAAGAAACAGAGGCCAAAAATCATAATTTTTCCTACTTATGGCGTTTTTGATGCCCTTTTACCCCCCTCACCTCACCTAGTTGCTGAAATTAATGGTTTTGAAGTTCATCCAAACAAACTTCAAACATAAGGGAATATTTCAACATAATAAGTAGCTTTCCAAAACAAAATTTGAAAAATGAGAAAATAGGGGGGCCAAAACGGGGGCTTATCGTACCTTGTCCTTTGTAAACCTTCATGGATTGTAATGAAACTTGGACAGAAGCTAATCTTCAAGATCATGAAAAAGCATCTAAAGGGAAAGTTTGAATTTTTTTTATAATTCTGTATTTTAGTGTTGTAGACCTAGAGATATAAAGGTAGTCTAACTAGTTGAGTTAGGGAAGATCTTCTTTGGCTCAATTGGTTAGAGCGCTGCCTTTAGATCCCAAAATTGAGGGTTCGAATCCCGCTGGTACCATCCATGGATTTTCACAACATTACTGATAAATGGACTCACTTTTTAGTCAACATTACACTTTTACACTGCAGCAATCGCAGGTGAGACACAGGGTCCTGCGGAACCCCTCACAAATTTTATTTTCATATACAACATGTCATTTTGTTAGCTAAATAATTAAAATCCATCGACCTGTTCAACAATGCTGCTAAAAGATTTAAATTTGAAATCTTTTTTTGTCTCATTTATTTAATTAAATTTTTGAAAATTCATTTATAGTTACAGATACCAAAGGAAAATTAAAAACTCAAAAGTTTAAGAAAAACTGACAAACACCAAGGCAAAACAGAAAGATGTCCATAATCTGATTAATTAGATTGACACTTCATAGAAAACTTAAGACTTAGCAACACTAACCTCACCAAAAACTGGGATGACCACATGTCTCTGGAAGGGTAAGCATACCCTGATCCACTATATATATACTTAAAAATCTTAACATCGTTTAGACCTAAACTTTACATTTTAAAAAATGAAAACAACGCGTCCTAAGTCCAGGAAGGCTCAAAGTTAAATATTTGAAAGCCAAGGGTATATAAGAATCTAAACAGTTGAAGAGCTATACGACAAAAAATCTAAAAATAATAGCCAAATCCAATGGTCAACTTTTTCAAATTTTCAAGACGATTTAGATCTTGGCATATATACTATGTGGTACAGTCACCTGTCTATTTGACAGGGACTCGGTTGGTACATTAAACATTTTTTAATCAACGTTTTTTAATTTTTTTTGTATTTCCTGTCTATTTGTATTACTTTATTAACATATATAGCATTTGAATCATTATGTCTTTGTTTTCCAGCAATGTGCATTTTACTGTCCATATCCGTTTACTGAAAAATCCTAGTAAAATGCTCACTGCCGTAATGAAAGAATATTAATATTTTTGGCATTTTTTTTCTCACTGAATCCCATGCAATATTATTATAACCTTACATGCTGCCATGTCTTGTTAAAAATGGAATGTTTAATCTGATGCCAAATTAACTGTGCCATCCTCACTCCTCTTCATCCCATTCAACAAAATATAACAAATCTACCAGATGGATTCATTGTTATTTTGTTCTCTTCCTGAATATGCAGGATTTATTTTTCATTAGATAATATATAAGCAAATTGCAACCAATCAATCACTTAGTGCACATCTGGTGCAGCAAAACGGGTACAGTTTATATGATTAACTGTTTTACACATCAGACAACATTTATATATATTTAAACAAAGAAATATCAAAACTAATTTTTAAAAATTGTTTTTTATTCTTATATATTATATACAATGTATATATTCATATATACACATTTTATTTTTTCTCTCGCCGTTACAACGACAAATAACAAAACCTTTAATAATGAGCAATATTAATATCATTTACTAATTTAACATAAGACATCAAACTGATGGCAAAACTATTACAAACCTTATTAAACTTCATTCAGTATTTTATTTCTGTGGCCACACAAAATTCATTTTTTGTTCTTGAAATTTAATATTTTCTGTTAAAAAAATTGCAAGCAACCCAATATTTTCCTATGTTTAAAAATACTTTCCACACTTGATTTACAATTTTACAAGCTGTTTACTCTTTTATTGATTAATCTGAATAAATTTTAAGCATACAATTACATTTTTAAAAAATCTTAGATTTGCCCCAAAAAGATGAAAAAAAAGAAGTAAAAATGCATAACTGGAAATTTTTTATTTCATGTGAACAGCATACCTGCTTTTATTATAAAATGATGGGATGTATTAAGGGCTGTTCCATTCAAACGAATATGGGCATGTAGGAAAGAAAGTTCTATTTTTTTGTCATGGGTTGTGAGAATTTAAGTTTTGCAAGTTTATTTGATGAAAAAAAAAAAAACAAACAAACAAAGTAAAGGAGGAAGTCAGAG